GCCCCTGCTTCATGGCAGGCCTGTGGTGCCCCTGGCGGGCCTGTGGCGCCCCTACAAGGCCGTAGGTGCCCCTGACAGGTTTGTGGTGTCCCTGGAAGGACTTTGGTGCCCCTGACAAGCCTGAAGTGTCAAGGACAGACCCTTTAGACGCCAGGGTCAAGTTCGTCGGACTGACAACGATTTGCTTACCTGATAACGTTCCTGGTAAGTACTCACTACTCAGCGTCCACAACATATATACACATAGCACATTCATATATACTTGCTTTATGCTTACAATTGGTAAATATGGTTGTGGCTAAGAGTTAAGATACTGACTAAAAATAAAAAAAAAAATAAAAAACTGAAAATCCACCAAAATGAAGTGGACGAAATCCGTTGAGTTTTTAATTTTGGGTATAGGTAGGGGCACCACTTCGATTCATGACCCTCCCCTTGGAGTTTTCCTGGATCCGCCCCTGGAAGACATAAACTCGCACCACACTACCAGTAGTGATCATTGGGATAAATTGACGAACTGATCTACCGGCAAAATATCACATAATTATTTATTTACTGTGAGATAATGCCTAAGCTACCCACAAAGCACCGAGGTGATGAGCTCCATCGAGTCACGAAGGTGATGGTTCTCATACCAGAGTTTAGTAGAGCGGTTTTCCGAAGCTCGGCGTGGTACAGCTGGTGTCTCAATGATCTGTGCCGTGTGCAAGAGTGCGTACCTAAAAGATGGCAAGAACGGCTACTCTATAATCGATGTGCAGTTTTATTGAATGAGTAGTGCCCATCAGAGTAGGTCTGTCTTCGGTAAGCAGCTACCGTCAGATCCAGACTAAAACTCCTGTTTGCAGTCCTCCGTCAGAGTGAAAGCTTAGCTACCTTTTCTGCAGTCCTCCGTGGGGCAAAATTATCTTCGGCACTCACTTCACCCAAGCCGAGTGCAGCTCCATCTCATCCTTCAGTAAGTCAGGTGTGTGAGTGAGTCGTTTCAACGACAGCAAAGCTCTTCCCAGTGCTTAGTGAGATGCTCACATCAAAGTGGAGCTCTCCTCTGGTGCTCCGTGATCACTAATCAGCAAGTAGACACCATCAGGCTCAAGCTCTCTTCCTCTGTGAGAAGCCCGGCGCCAGCGCTGAAGCCGTTCTCCTGGCCCCAGTCGGGATCGTAGTCAAACACATTGAACGAAGCCGACTGCAGCCGCGCGCCCAGACCCACGTAGCCCACCCTGGTCGGCGGCTGCGCGTATGACGATCCCTCCATCAGGTTCTGTGTCAGCACAAGTCGAGCCGAGCCGTCCGCAAGGTAGTCGAACAGCTCAACGATGCCTTCGGTGAACCTGACGAAGAACTGCTGGAACTCTACCGGATGAACCGGCGTACAGGAGTGCAGAGAGAATTGGTGATAGCTGATGTTGACAACATTCTTGAGTTCGACATACGCGATGTCGTTCATGATGATGACTGCGATCACCAGAGGGTGGTGAAACTGTTCCTTGAAGAACACCTGGCAACCGCCGGAGCCGGCGCAGTCGAACCCCACAGAGGTAGTGGCAAGGGCGGTCTCGGAGACACGGCGCCACAGAACTGTCATCTTGGGCACCGTGTACACCCGGCCGTGCGTCCAGCCCTGCTCTGAGGTGAGCCACGGGTCCACCAGGTGGGCGCCCAGCCGCCAGTGGCCGACCACGCCGCTTCCGGGGTACGACTTCAGCCTGACGAACTGCAGGTCGTCAGGCAGCGTCAGGTTCACCCTCACCACCTGGTGCGCCGTGGAGGTGACGGCTGAGATTCGCACCTGGCCCGCACACCAGCCGACACTGAGAGCCGTCAGCGCCGGCGGCTGCAGCAGCGGCTCGGAGAGCGTCACCGGGTACGTCCCGCCGTTCGTCCTGTCCATGATGACCACGGCCTGACGGTGAAGGTGAATGCTGAGCTTCACCGTGCTCTCGTCCAGCTCCGTGGCGAGGTCGATGATCATGTTGTAATTGGAGGTGACGCCGAGGTCGATCTGACACTGCTGGTCTGTGATCTGTTTCCAGAGCGAGCTCCAGATGTCCCCCGAAGTCCAACCGTCGACTGAGGTCGGCAGCTGGTGACCGAGAAGAGTCCAAGAGTCGCCAGCGGCCGGCTGGTCGGGCTCGGAGCACAGAAGGACGCACTGGTCGGCAGCGTCGGCCGGTAGCGGACAGTCGGGACTGGCGGGTCGCGGCGCCGCCGGACTCAGCTCCACGTACCGGGACGGGACATCGTCCACCTGCAGGCCACCGCCCTCAGCGTCACAGGCGGCGCGGCTGTACATCAGGCAGAGGTTCCGATCGCAATCGTGCAGCAGCGCCGCGCAGCCGGTCGTAGGACCTCGCAGCAGGCAGTGGCGGAGACAGGAGAGCAGGCTGGGAACCCCGCTCTCCACGGAGTCCGGCGCCGCCACGGGTCTGACGTCAGTCCAGCTGCGCGCTGCTAACGACTGAGGCTCGGATGTAACGCCGAGTACCATCATAGAGAGCAGCAAAAGAAGACGAGAGACGCGCAGCGCCACTAACGCAGCAGCCATGATGAGGCGACGCTGGAACGACGGGAAACGTGACCAACAGGCAGCCACCCTGCCAACCCCAGCAGCGAAGTCGCCTTCTTCAGAAGGACTGCTTCAGTCCCGCAGCTCGCTCTATGCGACGTTGAAGGACTGCAGAACACTGCCGAGTGCCGAGTAGTGCTCAACGAAAGCCGTCCGATGCTTCATATCGTTTCCTCAGCAACCCTGCTCGATCGAACCTGCGCATCTAAGGTAACCTGATCCACGAACCGAGTGCGTGCCAGTGCCCTGTGCACTGTTATGCCGCCTCTCGGTCAGCGGCATTGTGGCGACTGGAAGCCGAGGTTCCCAATGATAATGGCCTTTCCGCTATAGAAGTGGCTGATAGATGGTAGCATCAGCAGCTACGTCACGAGCTATTGAAACGCAGGAGTGTTCAAGGGTTGAGAAACGTAGCATTTAGCTATTCAGCATCGAGCGCGTAAGGCCACAAATGAAACTGGTAGCCCCGTATCCTAAAAGCCACTACCACTTCAATGCGCTTTTAGCTCGTATTGATAGCTTTTCACCACACACAACATTCTTTGCAACACAAAAGGTGCCTCAGTTTGGCAAGGTTTTGTTGAAAGGAAGTGCGTCGTGCATGCCCAACTCCCTACACAGTGACTGGCTTTACAGATAAATCAAAACCAGCTTTATATCGTCAGTACCATGTTCATCGTTACACGGTGATAAGCCTGACATCTATCATCACAGCAGTGCAGTAATGTAGTTTGAGCCTGAGGTACTTCGAACTCGACCGCCAGCTGGTGCACCTCACATGAGCTCCATTGGGCTTTATACGACTACGAGTATCATACAGATGGTGCCACTCATTATACAGTCGCCCTGCGAACGGCAACGTGTCCGCGGGACTGTCATTTCCCGCACCGGTTAAAGGTAGTGTGCCACCTTCCAATGATTTCCCATTTTATTTTTCCTAGTATAAGAAGCTTCTGTTTTTACCTAATATCGCAAAAAAAAATCAAAATGGGCCTAAAATAGTGCTTTTTTCGCCTAAAAGTTTATCGGTTTTTCGATATGTATAACAACTGTAGTGGGCTGACCTGCAAACAGGCGTCGGCAACAATCGCGAATGCGGCGCACATGTGACAATAAGCAAAAGTCATTATAGAGTTACGACGTACGGGAATGAGTTATCAGCTGTCTAATCGTAGACAACACAATGGCGAATTTAAACTGTAAGCCTGTATTGGTATTGTTACTTTAATTTGGCTGTCGAACATTAATTTATGGTTTGAAATATGATTTTATGTAAAATAATTGATATGAAACAGCCGTCTCTAAAGTTATGACCCCATCTCACCACATGAAAGTGGCAGAAATGATAATGATCAGCTGACACATTTTTCTTGGCCGAAGTCAGAGCGCGCGGCCCGACTCACCACCACCGCACCACAAAGCATGAGCAGAAGCCACCTGCGGTAGACCGCGCCCAAAGCCAGGGCCCCGGTAACGTGAGGTAGCCGAGTCGGGGCAGCATGCGCTGACCCCATAGAAATAAAGACTAGAAGGGACAGCTGCCTCTGCGGCGTACGTGAACTGCGCCGCCATTGAACCACAGTCAAGGACTGTGGTTGTTTACATGGGACCCTATGGCGGAATCGTGTAGTTGGGTGCTTTCGTGCTCTATTATATGAAATTAAAGGGGTGCAGGGAGATTTCGGATAGAGCCCCATGAACAAAATTCATCAGAGAAAACGTTGAAACACATTTTGGGTGAGTGATTAACTGTTTTCTATGATATTCTGGAGGTTAAATATGAGGAACTCCACGCAGACGTGACTTGTAACAGTTGTGCTATCGATGGGCATGTTATTAGCATCATGTACTGACAGAAACTCAACCTTTGTGTTTTTTACATTCTGGTTTACTTCAAATAGTCATTTTATTCATTTATTAAATTATTTTGTGTCACGCTTATTGTCTGAATGACTTGCTCTCAGCTCAGTCTCAAGCAGTTATATTTCTGGCTTTATATACACCCATGGCTAGAAAGTTTGATGAAATACCAAGTAAATAAAATTAAAAAGAGCACGTTTTATACTTGAACTGCTCTTAAGTGCTAAAACCTACCTTTGTTATGTCTGCGACCGCCCCTCGCATGGCAGTCGTTGATGGTGTTTGGCGCTCAATAGCAACACCTTTTAAGGTGCGGTTAATTTATTCAAGAAATAATATTTTTGTATCTTTATTTGAAATGCCTCCAGTTTTTTAAGTAAAAATATGAATATTACCATATGTATTTCATTTTGTCCCTGAATTCTGGACTTGGACTTGGTGAAATTCATTCAAATCAATCCCTACCTTGACCTACCTACCACCTGCAATGAAAATGATTGCAATATGAAAGTGAGATCTTGGGCTTTTCGTGAATGAGTTGTATCTCAATTTATGTCTTTCTCTTTTTCAGTTCTGAAGCTCTGCTCACCAGTGGATGCAAGAAGATGCAAACAAGAAGTTGTATTTTCTGGATTCGACTTCCAGGCATAACTGTCAAGTGTCGAGCAGCCCAGTATTGCCCCATGGGTATATACTGCCTTGGCCCCATGCAGGTATGTGCTGTGCAGTCAGCATGAGTTTATTATTCACATGCTAATGATAAATTAAAAGGAATGTCTGAATGTTGAACAGTGAGTGCAAGCAGCTGTTGCGAATTGCCACTAAATACACATTACCCACATTTATTTTTATAGAAATAATTATTGTACACTTCCAGCTACCTAATGTCAAATTTGATTTTGTAACTGTGTTAGATGTGAAAACATACTTGTTTGTCTCGTCAGTTTGGCTCATATTTAATTCATTTTTATCACAAAAGGACATTTTTACCTCAGATTCATGCAGTACTGCAGCTTAAATGACTGCTTAATGTGTCATCTGTCCATTCCATGCACACTGCAGACATTATCTGTTCAAAAAGTTTAATATCTCTGTTTTGTCTTATCTTTCAGTTTTCCTAAGGATCATCAGGAAAGTAAGGAGTGGCGAGGAAGAGGCTGTTCTACCCTGGTCAGACACGCAGCAAAGCTGACACAGCCAGCAGAGCTCTGCAACAGCAATGGGTCTGCTACCACTTGGTTGAAAGCATCCTGGCTTCTGGAACGATAAGACTGGGCTGCAGCAGCAGCTGCAGCTCTGTTGGCGCTGTTGGTTGACGAGTGACAGTCTAAGTCGGCCTCGGTTGTCGGCTAAAGGCCGCCGCGGCGCCTAGTGTGGTGATGGCTGCAATGTCTGATGGCGTCTGTGTGAAAAGCACATGCTTATAGCAGAGAAGAACTTTGTTTCACACAACGCTGTATGTTAAAAGTAGATTGTTATTATACGGTGCATTTCTAGATATCTCGGTCAGTGTATTTATTTTGATGGTGTATTTTCTCTCGCTGCTTGCCTCGGATTCCGAATCGTTCATCGTGAGCCGTGAGGGGATAGCTAGGTAGCGGCGATTCGCCACTGTGCACATGATTAACAGGGCCAGCGTGTGCTGCATTGTTAGGGTTCGTCTGTTGTTTGGCATTGCATAAATATTTGGTCAGCTCAGCTGTGGCCATTGGTTGGGAAAGCTGCCCTGCAGGGACGATTGCCGGACGGTACGTGGCGGGGCGGTGGTCTGTCGGTTGCTGGGACTGAGTCGAGCCGACTGGGTGCTGCGAGACGCGGACGTTATGTCTACTACAGACCTACGCAATACTTTTAACTTTTAAGGCCAAAAATGTTAATGTAGGCATTTTATGTAAACCTCCGTAAAAATCATTTGACGCAAGGCTGGTTCGTTATAAGACAGCGAAAATCGAGCGGGTTATTTGTGCATACTTATGCCCTTTCTGGAGGATTGTAGCGATTGTAGCGAGAGTCAGTGTGGTCGACTATGCTCGAGGCTGTGAGACACGGTTGCTGGTGGGGTCGATTGGGGGGGGGGGGTGGCAGCAGGAGGACGAGACTGAACGGGAGACGTTTGATGTGAAATGCCTTATGCCGTAGCATCAAAGTAGCATCCACTAGTGACTTTGCTTGCTATCGCTGCGCATGGAAATGATGATAAAATTTGAAAACGATTGGTGTTTTTCCCGAGTCGATTGGACGTCTAGAAGCTGAAAAGGGCAAATTAGGTCACGCTGGGTCATGCCAGGTCACAAAGGGTCATGGCAGGTCACTAGGACCCCCTCAGGTCACAGTAGGTCAGGTCAGGTCACTTCAGGTCATCATTAGTCATGACGGGTCACTGGGACCCCTTAGGTTACGTTAGATCGGGTCAGGTCACGATGGGTCATGCAAGGTCACAGAGGTCGCCTCAGGTCACGATTGGTCATGTCAGGTCACAGAGCTCATCTCAGTTCACGATATCAATTGTTTGTTCTTTCTTCTCACTTCCATGCGAAAATCCCCACTGACCCATCTAAAATATCATTTTCCCCATTGCCATAACATTACAAGCCGACACTGCAGTGTCCTCTTAGGAGGGGTCCTGCAAGCTGTCAAGGGTATGTCAGCCACTAAAAACCCTGGATCCTAATAAGAAGATGGTCCAATCTTTCATTTGAGACCCTTTATGACATCTAACTCGCATTCAAAAGCTCGTACGAGTCCGTCAAAAATGCTCTTTTTAACATGGGAAGGCATTAGCGAGTCTATGATGTCGACTGTGGTTGGCTGCCGGGCCGCTTTACGTATCTAGCGAGCGGGTTTTACACAGGGCTGTCCTATCTAGTCTTTATATCTATTACCGGGGTTACATGAGCGATCCGTTCCAAATACGCACTACGCTAATGCGCATCAGCTCCCTACAAACGTATCTACGGCACCGGTTACATGAGACTAATTCGTTTTATCTACGTCAAACGGATCTTGTTTGGCTCACCCGGGCTGACTCCTCGACGGCCGGTAATTCGCATCACAAACGGAATAGGATTAGCGTACAGTCATGGCGCAGTTGCGGCATTTACCGGGACGACTGAACTAAATTTTAAATACTTTGATCATTTGATAGGCTCAAAAACATTTAAAATTAACATGAAATCAAAAAATGAAAACAAAGTTTTCTTGTTTTAAGTCAGTGGGCACTGATTCGCCATGCAGCGACAGCAGGGTGGTCAGAAAAAAATTATCTATCAAAATATTTCATTCATTTTATTTCACATGCAAAGAATAAACCAAAATACCAACATTTTTTTTTTGCTATTTTCTACGAGGCAGCCAATAAAAAATGCTTAGTATTTTGCATTTTGACGCTTCCAGTCAGCAAAGAATAGTTCTTGTGAAATACGGCCCGAATCGTGTGCCTCGTTACATGAGCGATCCGTTCCAAATACGCACTACGCTAATTCGCATCAGCTCCCCAAGAACGCATTCAGTGCACCGACTACATGAGCAAAGTCGTATCAGTGACGTCAAACGGATCTAGTTTGGCTCTCGGCCCGATGCGCATTACAAACGGAATAGCATACAAATGTGGCGCACTTCCGTAGCAATAGAGGTGACTGAATTAAAAACTTAATATCTTATGTCTTTTTTGCATTTAATCTGCTCTAAACATCCTCAGTTAACTTAACAAAAAAAAAGTTAAACATAAAGTTGTCTTGCTTTGACTCATTGAGCACTTGCCTCTCTTGATTCGTCTGTAGTGCTGTCAGAAAAATGTTTCAACTGAAAGTACTTTGATATTTTCTTTTTGGTTTTCACTATATTTATTTTTGAAAACTTGACAAAATACCGACATATTTTTTTAATTATTATTTCAAAAGAAGCAAATGAAAAAATACCTATTATTTTGCATTTTAATGTTTCTTTTTGGAAAGAAATAGTTCCTGTAATACGTATCTTGGTCCTATTCGCTTCTAAGCCTCTTTCCCTGCGGAGTGCGGTGAATCCGATCGTGATACGTATTTGCTTTGCTCATGTAACCGCGGATCGGATCGCCGATTCGTACTAGCAGGTGGCTACATGAGTCGGTAATGCGTTCCTAATTCGAAGTAGCGGCTAAATACGTATTTACTGTGCTCATGTAACCCCGATATATGGCTGACCCAAGCCGGGGCCGCGGCTTTGGGCGCGGTCTACCGCATCCCCGGGCAGCCCCGGGCTATCACATGACACCGGGAGGACGCGCGGCCCCGGCTTGGGTCAGCGCACGCTGCCCCGACTCGGCTACCTCACGTTACCGGGGCCCTGGCTTTGGGCGCGGTCTACCGCACCACCTAACAGGCGTGTTCGAAACCGCAGGAGATGATGATGAACGGGTTTATCGAAACTTGATTGGATGAGCCTATCGGTAATAGCGATTTCAGTGTGTGCATTTATTGTTCATAGTGATGTGAAATGTGGTTGGGGTACGACCGACAACCCGTCGGGGCGAATTTCGCACTGGGGTACTCAAAATTTGAAGAATTTAAGACGTTTCCATGAGTTTTGAAGGTATGGATAAGTTCTAAAAATCCGGTTCTCCTTATCTAGGCCATTAACTCCATACGGTCCAGGAAAGCTGGCACACTACCTTTAATACAGTCAGTACTTGATACCGCAGCTACACCAGCAGTGGTGTATAGAGCTTATGAGCTTGGGCGTGTGTCCGGTCAAAGAACGAAATCTTTACTGACCATAACGGGGTGGGAAGGAGGGGCGGGGGGGGGTGCTTGTAAGTCCCATTGATGCTTTTTGTTGCTAATACTTTACAACCCACGGCGCGTAACGTTACCTTTTTTACATATCTTATGGAATTTTATTTTTATCTTATTCTATGATTTTTGATCATATGATTTGTTATAATATTTTTCGCACATGGCATGAACTCTGAAAACTTCAGATCCAATGTGTTCAGGTTCAGATCACCAGGTCACGTCATGTGACATAGGCTCAAGAATGATTGAAATGCTTGCCAAATCTACACCGACTCATTTTTTTTCAAACTTTCAGCGGTTAATGCCAATGGCAGGAGTTATTCAACTCGCATTACGGATGTTCGAAACACATTCTATACATATTCGATTCGATTGACGATTTACCTATAACGTCAGGTCAACTTTGCGACCTCTCCATGACGAGTCAGTTGGAGAGCATTGAACGGCGCCTTTTTTAGGGGAGGGGGGACGCACGTCATCTTTAACACTTCAAAAATTATTAAACAGGCGTATATTGGAAATTAAATCGGTAAGTTACATCCGTGGCCCTATCGTGTAGGTACCCATCATATCATGTTTTATGTCCTGAGAGATCACCACTAGTTTTTCGAAACTTTTGATGGAAACATGCTAGAGTAATAAAAGTAAAACATCTCGGCTGTGTTCTGCTCCGCGATACGGATCGGCAGATGTGCATCATGATCTTTCCAGTCAGGTCCTGACTTTCATCAAAAGCCAAATTTTCAAACTGACCTTTTAAGGTCAAACTCGAAGCTCAGTATTTCATTCATTTCGTTCATCAGTTCATTCGACACAACTCGACGAGAAAAAGACGACGCCGGTAAAATCAATGTCGGTGAATTGTATCAAAAGTAATTGCAGGACATATTTAATGGAACGTCAGTTTTGGAAATGTATGCCCTCCGGTCCGGAGGCTAGCCCGTTTACCATGGGTCAGTTCTAACGGCACATGAGTCTATCACTGTTTCCGGTCAGTCTGCAAGGTCAGACATCAGGGTACAATGTCAAAACCAGCGTTTTGTAACGATCTGCCCGGTATTGTGCCCGGAACGCCCGAGCGAAACATCCTCCGTTCCGTTGTTTCCATCCTCAGGATAATCAAATCCTTCTCCTCCGCGCCCCACCCCCCGTTCCGGGAGTTGAAAAAACCTCCGTTCCGGTCTGGACCGGTAACTTTTTACCATGCCGGAAGCTCCCCTAAGAGCAGGCCCGATAGCCGGGTGCAGTGAGCGTTGGTTGGCCCAGGGGGGTACGCTCCGGCTGTTTAGCATTACGAAAAATGGTGACAGACGTTTGTGGAGGATTGTCGACGAACTCTTGTTCCGCGAGCAGTACTTACACGCTAGCGGAAAATTCACCAATCAGCGCTCGGCAGTACTCGACGCTGATTGGTCCGACGCTCGTGACGAAATTGCGGGGGACCGCAGTTATTCTCTATGGACCCGAATAGGCTTTTGGATTTCGGAGGAGTTTCTTTAAAATTATATGCTGTTTGGAGCTGTTTTCGAGTTGAAATATATTTCTTATGACTGTTAGCTATATAATGACACCATAAAATCATGATTTTAACCCTCGCATGTGTGCGGCGTTTGCCAGCTTCTAA